TTATGAGCATCGAAGCACCATGCACATCCCTCTGAGGCTGGCAACCCCAGCTTCTGACTCTTTAAACTTGCACATCACTGTCTGTTTTAGACAGCTTTAGAGACCAACCAAGGAAAACAAACCATAGTTTGGCTTATATTTCGTAGTCTGCACAAACTTATGTTCCACTTTCTAAAACATAATTTTGATGTTTTATATAATTTCATTTTTTTTCTCAGAATGACTGAAAACCACCACTTGACAGACTTTGTTTGTTAAAAGAATAACAGCACAGAGTCACCACTAATATACAAAACACGATAATGATTCTTAAATATATTTTTTTAAAAAATAGGAAAGCCCGATAATTCACTTTACATCTGAAACTGAATGACCTTAGAATGGGAAAGTAGCATATATGGTAGTGTTTGTTACTACATATGTGAGAGTGAACCTTTTGTATCAAGTAATGAATGTTATAGATGGAGTTATGAGCAAAGCTAAGACAAAAGCTAGCTTTTCCCTGTGTGCCTACGGGTTAGGTGCTACTAATTCAGAAAGTCTAATGGTACATTACAGCTGAAGAAGCTGTACTTAATAAGCACAAAAATGAAAGCAATTCTGCTCACTTTGGTGAGAAAAGTTTTTACATGAGAATAATAGAGATTTCTAGAAAGAGATGGAGTGGAGAAGACAGGGAGGAAAATGTGATCAAACAAACACTAGAAGGAAAAATACCTTAAAAAAAAGAAAGAAAGTTTAATTCACAAATGGAAGACAAATATATCTGGTCCTGTTAATATTCCAGAACACACATGAGAAAGGGAGTCAAGTGAGCCTGGAATTACTGAATTCTGACATAAAAATAAACAGCTTTCACAATCACATATTTCTAGAAGTTTATCAGTTGGTAGACTCTAGTCTACAAGAAGCTCTGGGTTCAGTCTCCAGCCTCATAAACCAATGGTGGGCACATACCTGCAATCCTAGTACTTGGAAGGTGGTGGGAAAAGAGTTGGAAGTTCAAAACCATTCTAAGCTATAGAATGTTTTGTACCAAATTCTAAAAAGACTTTTTTTTTAATTAAAAAAAAAGAAACAAGACTTAGACTATTATGAAGCACTTCACCACAACCCAGAAGGTCACAGAGAATGAATGAAAATCTCTAGATAAAAGAGATTGCTGTCCAGAATTTCCAGCCACAGGAAAGATATCAGAGGGGAAAGGACATCATCCCCAGTGCTGGGCTAACGGAAGGCCTCAGAGCACTGCAGAAACAAGAGAGGAGCAGCATCCACACTGATGTTGTCACCGAAGACCAGCTCTGTGATAGAAGGGTAAAGAAAGGATAGAGGAACAGAAAAGGAATGCTGTCAAGAAAGAAATGGCAATGATGTACTTGACATTAGTCCAGAAAAACTCATGCATGGGCCAGTGATGGAGCCAACAGGGGAGAGGGGAGAGGAGGGCACTTCAAGGTTCTCATGCCAGTGTGGCAAGTAAGGATTAGGCATTCCAGGAAAGGGTATGACTATGCTTATTTCTAACTAGGACTGGAGATGCAGCTCAGCTGTAGAACCATTGCTTGGCGGGTGTAAGATCCTGGCACCAGTTCCCAGCAATGCATGAATTTAACAGATTGCTCAGTTGTGATTCTCAGAACATAATGGCTTGATAGACTAAGGAACATCATCAGGGCTTGGAGAGATGACTCAGTGATTAAGAACACTTGTTGCTGTTCCAGACGATCAAGGTTCAATTTTCAGCACCCTCATGGTCTCGCACAGCCATCTCTAACTCTAGTTCCATCTCTAACTCTTCTAGCCTTCCTGGGCACCAGGCATGAATGTGGTGCACAGACCTAAGTGAAGGCAAAACATCCAATGACATAAAACAAAACATAAATCCTTCCAAATTCACCAAAGCAAAGAAGAATAGTAAAAGAAATGTTACCATCCCAACAAAACAAAAAATAAAAATGAGAAGATTCAATAACACAGGAAAATAAGAGGTAAATACATATAGTCTTGGAGGAATAAAATCAAGGCTTGTCATGCTGAGAATACTTTCATTTTGTCTATCCAAAGAAAAGGTTGCCAATGCAGAGTTGTTTTGTTTTGTTTTGTTTTGTTTTGTTTTGTTTTAATACAGCATGAATTCTAGAAACAGGTGTTGAAAGGAAGGGGCTCAGAGGTCAGTTCATCTCCCCAGACCGGATGTGGTGCTAAAAGCACCAAAGGGCTGTTTCTCCCAAGATGGTGGGATTCTAAAATGACTCTTCAGTCACTATCAGAGATAAAGTGGGCCTAAGGTTTACCCTCACAGCTTCCTGATGGAATGCCTCATGAGACCCGCATTTATTAGACATCACCCGCTAGCAATCAGTCCCACTGGCTGCATTCTCCACACTGCTTCTAAAGCAGTCTCTCGAAAGCAAGAATTCAGCAGGTCACCCACTAACATTCCCATTGCCTGGGAAGAAGCTCTTCTTGTATAGTTTCTTCTGTAAGGAAGAGCCTCCTATTATCCATGACTCACGAGAAGAGAAGGCTTCGTTAAATTTTACATTGCGATCCAATGAAGACTGGGCACATCCTAAGACTCTCAATCTTCTTACTTTACCGCCAAATAACAAAGTTGCTCAGAACCCCACCCCCTGGAAATTTGTTATTTCTGTCCCACTTCAGTGGAGCTGGGCACACTGGGGTTCTAATTTATGGTTCTGCTACTGATTACTGCGTGACAAATCAGTTAGTCTTTCCTGTTTTGTGAGTCTTTCCTGGCACTGCTTGAGGGTGAGAATCACTACAGTGGTACAGGAAAGCCAAGAGTTGGAGGCATTAAAAGTATTACAGAGGGCCCATGAGTCTCTTAGTTTACTTGAGTTTGTCTCTGGGTTTCTAGCTGTGAAAATGGGAGTTCCTGGGTGTATATACCCTGGGGGAAGCACTTTGCATATGACTATTGTTAGTGTGTTTATTATCACCTTTTAGCTGTTTGTGCCTCCATTGTTTCGATGCCTGTCATTGGAAAAATGGCATTCTACATAGTACAGTTTTTCTTGTGATGAGTATAATTAACATTGGTTTTAGTCTTTTGAAATATAGGGTGACGATTCCAGAAGAATATATTGATCAGCTTAGTTTGTCAACTTGTGATAAACTTGTGGTTGAATCTATCCCCCTACAGAAATAGTACCCCTGCTCATACAATTCTTTTGAGTATAGCACCATCATCGTAACTGCCCAAACGGGTTTGGTATACTGAAAACTTTTGAGACAGTACAAACAAACCATGCAATCAATAACTTACAAATTTTCTTGAAAGAAAAGCCAGAATCTTTAGCCTGTTCCTCGTTGTCTGAGTAGCCTGACTCCTGTTCTCCTCCTTCTCAGCCTCATCTTGCATCATCCCCAACTTCTTCCCCTGTGCTCAGTTGCATCTACCCTGGTCCAGTCCTCTGGCCTTCTTTTGAACACTATGGATACTTCGTATTTACCTTCCATAAAGTTTTCTCTCCTACCTTGATGCTGATCTCTCCACTGAGTCCTATTTGTCCTTCAATTTCAACTTAAGTGCCATTTCCACAGAAAAGTCTGTGTGGCTCCAGCTACCTACATACCCTCCCCACCCGACCTGACTCCTTGGTACACTCTCTCATGGAAATGAGTTCTGCCTCTACTTGTTATTTGATTGACATCTCTTTCTCTAGTGCTCATAGTCTCGGCAGAGTGGCCACACCTGGTTTTTCTCATTGTTCACACAATGGCTGGCACAGCACCTACTGCATGTCGAGTCTCTGGTGCTGCATGCATGGACAGATGAGTGGATAAGTAAATGAATGGATTACCCTACGTTGGCTATTCTGGGGTCATTTGTGCTGCTAAGAATTTCTGGAAGAAAACATAACTAAAAAAAAAAAAAAAGCAGTGGCCCAGAGCTGTTCTTGGTACCTATTCCAGGTGAGTGAGGGACAGCCCTCTTTGTTCATTCTTCGCTCTTCTTAAAAACACTTGTGTAACTTTGAGAGAGCACTAGATGAACCACTGAACAAATTCAATTTTAGTCTTAATATTCTTTTTGGAAAGAAAAGTAATGTCTACTTCTTTATTTACCACTGAAAAATGTGTCTCTGGGTGGACTAATAACACTGACTACTCTGATTTCACTTCTCCTATTAAAGATATCCCCTCCCCCCTTAATGTCTTACTTCACTTATCCCAATTTCAAGAGCAGCACCCATAGTTAAAGAAAAAAGGAAAAATAACATGTAAGTGTATGTAATAAGAATTAGTGCAGTAATTTTCACTGCACACAGCCACATTTAATCTGCCTTGTGTGGCCTGATAAATGCAACCCACGAAAAAGAATCAAAGGCATCAGATGATTTAAGGTTTACAGGGGCTGGTGAAGGCTTCAGTCATCACCTCTCCCTTTTTATTTCAGGATGACCCTCATATTTAGGTGTCTAGAAACCTTATAGGAGTGGGCAAGATTGTTTTAACTGTGTCTCTAAGAAACAAAACAAAGAAAGAAAAAATGGCCAGCTGCACATTTAAGACGTAGAACCATCCAGGTAAGATTAAAGTCCAATTTCTTCATTTTGAAGGCCGTCCACTTTATTTCCTACTATAGAAGGATTCCCAACCCAAATGCCAGAGCTATTTAATTTTCATTCTGTTGACACAAGTTACCTTGCCTTTCATCTTTCTCTGAAAACAGTGAAGCCAGTCTTCTACTTTACCTACTGAGAGGTAACTCCCAGCAAGTAATTTAAAATTTTAACGGTCTGTTGAAACATACTTTTCCATGTTAAAACACAGTATCAAAAGAAGCAATGCAAAGTCAGTACCATCCCCTCTGACAGGGGTGACTCGGAGCCTTGAGCAGTGGGCTGCAATGCTTCACAAATTGTGCTTTCAAAAAAAATCCTTTTGTAACAACGTTTTCTACTTTAGATTTTTCTTAATGTTCACTTGAATTATAAGTTAAGAAGAAGAAGTTCAGCTGGGCCACTCACCTGTTGAAACCCCGATTTGGAAGCAGAGGGCAAAGACACACCAGAAATATGACTTCATGTCTGCCAGGAACAGCTGCAGTCCTCCCCTCCAGTGTTCAACAGTGGCAGTGAATTCACATTCTCAGTTGTTTTCTGTTTTCTGGAGAGGAAGTGGGTTTGTGGAGGTTGATGTAGTGTCACATTTACTATTCAGTTGAAGGTTCTACATGGACAACTTAAGACAGCACCTCCTCCTGCATGTCAAGTGCCCAGTGCTGCATAAATGGATGGATGAGTGCATGAGTAAGTGAGTGAGTGAGTGAGTGAGTGAGTGAGTGAGTGAGTGAGTGAGTGAATGAATGAATTTTATTTTCAAAGCTACTTATGTGTCATGAGTATGGTGAGGAACTTCATGGGCCATTGATAGCAATGCTGGGTGAGAAGCATTACTGTTTATTACTATTATGAATGTTTAATTCACCGGTTCTCGTTGGCCATGAAGACAGGAGGACAATGCTGCCCTCATTCTGGTTAGAGACACAAGGCCTATTGTTTTTCAGAAGTCATTTATTCAAAAATATCTCTAGATCAATAGCTGCTGGGGACTGAGGAATCCAACCCATATGACGAATAAGACATATTTTGACACATTTCTGTCTGGGTTGTTCACTACAGAGATAAAAAGTCCAGGGAAGGACAGAAGTTATTGAAGAAATTGAAATTTTAAAACATCTGAATGAAGAATGTTCCAGGAAGAAGCAAGAAAGCTAAAAAGCCTGATAAATGCCTCTGCCCCTGCAAAAAAAAAAAAAAAAAAAAAAAAAAAAAAAAAAAAAAAAAAGGTAAGGGAGACAGTAGCAATAGCAATAATACAAATAGTTTATTTACAGACACCTAAATTTTATGTGAAATATATCTTATTTAAAAATATACCTAAAATTTAAAGTAGAGGGGATAAGGAGATGACTCAGTGTGTAAGAGCACTTGCTGCCAAGCATGAGGACCTGAATTCAAATCCTTAACAGCCAAGTGAAAACTTGGGTGTGGCTGACCATGCCTGTAACCCCAGCACAGCACAGTGGGGCAGAGACAGGTGGATCCCAAGCGCTCACTTGTCACCCTACCTAGACAAAACGGTGAGCTTCAGGACCCATCAGAGATCTGGTCTTGAGCAGCATCCAGGAGAATGGTAGAGAAAAACAACCAATGTCCTCTTCTGGCCTCTGTATGTCCTGGCATACACCACACACAACACACACACACACACACACACACACCACACACACACACTTCAATGTGGACTAATACATGTTTACTATGTATAAAATATACCATACTATGAATATAGTTGATACTATATTTACATTGTTTTATGTGGATTTTTGTATATATATTTATATTATATTAATATTATTATACATGTATTAAGTTATTTTTCCCATCTCATAACCAGGCATGGTTCAAGTCCTTTAATAAATATCTGTGCTGACATTTGAACTAGTTCCCAAGTTTTCCAGTAACAAAGAAGGAAAAGCCATTCATGCCAAGACCTGTGAGCCCATCACTCATGCCAAGGCCTGTGATCCTGTCACTCTGAGAGCTTATCTGACTTCTAGAGTACTGGATCTAAGCTGGGTCTCTTAGAAGTAACTGACTCTTGACCCTCAGAAGTGACCTCTAGGGCAGAAGATATCACTTGAGAGCAACCAAAGTGTTGCTCTGAAGCACACTTGGGTTTGGAGCTACAGAACCACAAAGTTGGAGATACTGTAAGAGAACTTAACTTTAGAAGCCAGGGTGGGGAGGGGAGCTGAGCCTGCAGCTTCCTCAGGCCTCTGGGTCTGTCCCTTGTTGTCTTTTCCAAGACTCTAGAGATTTGTCAGAATATGAAGTGTTCATGAAGGTTGAACCAGATGATGGACTCCCAGGACCGCTGGAAACTTGTTGCCCCAATTTTTCCCTCTCTTTCCACTGTACCCCCAACAGCATCAAGAAGAGTTACTGGTAGAATCACAGATGATGTGTTTTTCCAACATCCCACTGAGCTCTGGGCCAACTGATGCAGTGATTTTGAGAGCCATAGGGCCTTTCACAGACCAGTTGTGTTTTCTCAAGGACAATACACCGACAGTGCCAGACACTTGCGGTTAAGTGGATCTGGGACAGTGGCTCTAAGTTCCTTGTCTCATGCCAATGAAGATTAGAGATGGGAATACTCAGGGGAGTATGCAAAGAGGAGCTTACTTACAGAGAATTACAAGAACACAAGAAAACAGAAGACAGTGAGAAATTAAAGTGTGAGTAACTCCCAAGAGTGGAAGGGGTTTCCAGGAGAGGACAAGATCATTCAGCCTCCTTGTCTAGGGTCTTTAGAGAGCTATGACAAGGACTAGACAAAGTTCAAGGTAACTTACACAAACTAACTCTTCTCTGGGCCACCAATTGCTAAGACAATGGAGAGTCCAAGAAGTTGTTGAGCATACACTGTTCATATGCTACCCATCCAGTTCAATGGTTGAAGCCCACTCTACCCATCTCTCGCTTGTAGTTTGTTCAATGCTGACCTTGACTCAACCCAGGCTACTGTTGCTATGATCAACCTTGTGTGTGTCTTGTTGGCTGCTAATTAGATGGTGTTCTCCTGTGCCCAGAGCTCCATGTCCAGCCTGTAGCTTTATTATGTATGGCAGAGATTTAACTATCACAGTCATGAAGGTGTAGCTGAGGTCTTCCTTGAATACTACATACTTAGCCCATCTTCATTGCAGTATGTGCAAGCAACTCATACTTTTCAATGTGGGTCCTTTCCCCTTGCGACCTCCAGAGAGCTAGCTCCTACATCACAAGTATGGACTGCTCTCCTGCACACCAAGTTGCCCCAGCTCTAGAGCCAAGCTACAGTTTCTTGAGGAAGATTCAAGGCAAGAACCAAATGATGAGCATTTGCTGAGCACCTGGACTGTTTCAAATGCATTCATTCATTCAGGTCTCCCAACAGTTCTACCAAGGACATCCCATTATCATTCCTGGATCATGGATGAGGAACTGAGAGTGAGGGGGATTATGTAAAGTGCAGGGTCACATAGTTGACAAACAGGAGAATCAGGTCAATCCGAACACAGTGGAACTCCAGGTTCCACACTCTACATTACCATCATACACACTGATGCTGGCCCATGTTCATCTGGGCAGAAATTACTGGGTGTGTTTTTATAGAGGAAAGTCCTGAATTAGCCCTTTAGCTTCTCTTGTTCTTAAATGAGTTTTTAAAAAATCATTACATGTGGAAGTGACATGGCCAGATAATACATTATTCTTCTGCCACTAACTTTGCTGAAGATGACCTCTCCGATTAAGGCCACCCAATATGTTCTCACCATTTCATTGGGGGGGGGGGGAGATAGTAACTTTTGTACAGTTACTAATTCACTGAAGAATAACTAGTTCTGGGAAATGGAACTAAAATGGCATGAGTCATAAGCCTTTCTAATCAGTAACTTTTCTTCAGATTTACAGAATCCAGACTTTCCACTGACTACAGATAACAGCAGCCCATGCATTACAGAAGCATAGCATCCAAAGTTTATAACTACCCTGGTGCCTTCCCCAGAAATCCCTACCTAACCCACATGCCATAGCCATGTGCTAGATGATGGTCCTGTTGGCAATAGCCTCCATCTCTCGATCTTGTTGGTTTGATAACTTTACAAATAAATCTCACTCCTTACCCTGATAACTTATCCTTGAGTCATCAGCTTTATCACAAGCAATGAACCCAATGGGTTCATGGTTACATCACTTCCTTGGCCTCCTATGTTCATGAAGGTCTTAAGGTCCTAAAGGAGCTTCCAAATTCCTGTAATACGAAAACAACTTTTCTAATAAAATTCAAGTGTAGTGTTTCTTCCTCAAGGGGAGAAAGGTTGGACCAGTTATAGTTGAATTCCACTTTAGTTCAAGTGAATATGTATGTTTGTATTTGATAGGAATCTGTTTGCTTCTACACAACCACTATGGTTCTCGGATATGTGAGACATTTGGTACCAAGCAGGGGAGCAGCAAAGCAAGCTTCTATGTAAATGATGTTTATCGCCAACATCCCATCTATGTGACCTGTCCCAAAATCTCTGTTTGTGGTTTTAAATATTCAGAATCATTGTTCTTGTGCCTGAAAAACAAAAAAAAAAAAAAAAAAAAAAGAAAAGAAAAGAAAAGAAAAGAAAGAAAAAAAAGGAAAAGAAACTTTCCATTCGCCCCCCAGGAAGTACTTTTTATTTGCTTGTTTTTTTCATTTTTTTTTATTCCATGACTTAAGAGGGTTTTGATTTGTGTGTGCAGATGCCTGTGCAGAGGGTGGGGAATGGAAAGTTTGCTACATTAAAGGTGGATCGTGTGTCAGTCCTGTCTTCTGAGCCACTGAGTTCCCAGTGCCACACGCTTGCTTTTGTCTGGTGCAACAGTTATCTTCCTCTTGCCTCACTTAAAGCTGTCAGACAGCAAATTTGAGTGAGCAGAGTAGCTCCCACATCAGGGCCCTGAGAAGGATAACTCAGAGCTAAATTGAGCATCCCAAAGGTGCCTTTGAGTACTTTAAGCTGCATTTGCCATTTGAAATGGGCAGGCATGGAAAGAGCCATGTCCTTACTAATAAGCATGGTGTCCCCACCTACATTCTCTCTCTGGAGCAGCACCTCCATTCAGCCACTCAACCAGCAGTCTTCGTTCTCCCATTGCTTCACAGTGAGTCAAATCCTGTCCTTGTCAGCTATGCCCCAAGTGTTTCTCTTCCTCTTCTGCCAGGGTTACTGCATTGTCAGCATCCAGTATCTCTCCACCTCACCTTCCAGCCCCTCCTCATCCCATTTCAAAGTCTTCAATCAACATCGTAAGTGTAACTATAATTCATGTGTACTCCCTCTGCTGCACACTGTCCATGGCTTCCCGGGCCGTTAGGTTAGGATCAAACGCCCCACATGACCCTTTACAAGTGCAACTCCGTCCCTTGTTCCTCATCTCTTGACACATCTGTTCTTTCCTCTCCCTGCATCAAATGCTTAGACCACACCAAGTGTGTGACTT